CCCCCTCGCTTCCCCGTAGTCCGGTCCTATCCCCAGGCCCACTCCGACTGGTCCGACAGGGTTCGCTCCCGATCTGCTTGCCCAGCCGCCTTCCAGCAGCGACCGTGGTCCTTGCCCACTATTTCTCGTTTGCTGCTGGAGAAATCCCCCGCCACCGCCGAGCGGCAGCGTGGGCTCTTCTCGTTGGCCTCTGGGGGCAGCAACCCAGCCACCCCTACTGGCTGCATCCGCCACGACGCTGCCAGGCTCCTTCTTCTTCACCGACTCCTCCACCAGGGCCGCCAATTGNCACACGGACGAAAGAGGGAGTGCTCAAAGAGCGGCTCCCACAGCAAGGAGGGGCCCCGTGAATCATCGCGGTGCCCCCTATCAAACGGTTATCTTACCAGTCTGCGTGACACAAAATCATCCAGCACATGTATCCAACAGCAATGTTCGCAGACTCACGAGCACGTGCAGCACTAGTCCGGTAAGGGCCTGAGGCAGCATTAATTGGTCACTAATCGTACCACGTTTCCGGAGATAGCCTGGTAAATACGATATAAACAGCAATCCATCACGCACGAAGTAGTACGACATGGAAGTGGTTGTCTCGTTATCAGGTAGTTGGGCGTCAGTTTTCGTAAGATAGTCGACATAGGTGCCATATTCAAGAGCTTGTTATTCACGCAAGGTATCGCGGTTAATAGTTTCAAATACTTTGGTCGCGCTAATATACACTGATTTCTCAGCGAATAATTCGCGATCACTTTGAACCGGCGCAAGTTATCCAATCGATCTGCAGACACTTGGTGNATCACGCACGAAGTAGTACGACATGGAAGTGGTTGTCTCGTTATCAGGTAGTTGGGCGTCAGTTTTCGTAAGATAGTCGACATAGGTGCCATATTCAAGAGCTTGTTATTCACGCAAGGTATCGCGGTTAATAGTTTCAAATACTTTGGTCGCGCTAATATACACTGATTTCTCAGCGAATAATTCGCGATCACTTTGAACCGGCGCAAGTTATCCAATCGATCTGCAGACACTTGGTGCGGACGTGATGGAACATTCGAGTGCAGCGCAGGGTCATCAGGCACATTCCTACATATCGGTGCAAGTTGCGGTGCTTCCAACTGTTGTTGGTGATCGAACGCAAACAACCGCGATAGGGTGTCTGGGACTACATGTAACTTTCCCGGCTTGTGTCGCACTGTAAAGTCAAAGGACTGCAAAGCGATTGCCCATCTGGTCAGCATATTAGACGTGTCTTGCATAGTGTACAAATATCTCAATGCCGAATGATCCGTGACAACTTCGAAATGTCTGCCCCATAAGTAGGGTCGCCAGTGTTGTAAACTCAAGACCACACCGTAACATTCCTTCATCGTCGCAGAGTAATGACGTTGAGCATTGTTAAATCGTTGGCTAAAATAAGCGATAATATTCACATCGTCGCCGTTCTTTTGGCCCAGGAATGCTCTTGCACCAACTTCACTAGCATCTACGTGAACCACGAAGTCTTTGGTAAAGTCAGGGAAACATAACACAGACAGGTGCTTTGCTGAGTAAACGTCTGATGTCTACAAAAGCCTTATCATGTTCGTTCCTGGTTCCAACGTTTTGCGATTGATTTTACATGCTCTTATTGTGTGAGTTCGACTACCGATGGTGCGATGACCGTAGAAAGGTCGGGTATACATTTCCTCAGATAGTTAACCATCCCCAATACTGAGCGAAGTGCTTTGATTGTTTTGGGTACAGGCAAGTCGATAATAGATTGCATACGATCTTCCCCAATGCGAATCCCGTTTTCAGACAGTACGTGCCCGAGGTATTTTACTTCCTGTGGTCCAAATTGTACTTTGGAGGGTTTCAAGGTAAGACCGGCCGCTTGGAGTGCTTGGAGCATGCTTTCTAATAAGGTTAGTCTAGATGGCTCTCCCAATTTGAGCTGCAGCAAATGTCGTCCATATACACCAACAGTCCACTGCGTGGTCCGAAGTGAGAGAATGCCAGAGACATCATTCGGGCAAATAGAAAAGGAGCATTAGCAATTCCGAAGGGGAGGCGTTTGAAAACCCATTTCCCTTTGTGTGTCACAAAAAAAGCGGTCTTTTCTTGTTCTGCTTCGTCTACTTCAATTTGGTGGTAGGCTGACTGAATATCGCAGACAGTAACAAATTTTGCACCTCCAACCNGTAAGACCGGCCGCTTGGAGTGCTTGGAGCATGCTTTCTAATAAGGTTAGTCTAGATGGCTCTCCCAATTTGAGCTGCAGCAAATGTCGTCCATATACACCAACAGTCCACTGCGTGGTCCGAAGTGAGAGAATGCCAGAGACATCATTCGGGCAAATAGAAAAGGAGCATTAGCAATTCCGAAGGGGAGGCGTTTGAAAACCCATTTCCCTTTGTGTGTCACAAAAAAAGCGGTCTTTTCTTGTTCTGCTTCGTCTACTTCAATTTGGTGGTAGGCTGACTGAATATCGCAGACAGTAACAAATTTTGCACCTCCAACCGTATCAATATGGGATTCTATATCTGGCATGGGCCAAGATTTTCGAATTAAACTCTTGTTAATAGTAGAGCGGTAGTCAACGCAGAATCGAGGAGTGCCACCAGCTATTGCTACGATGGTAACAGCAGATCCCCATGAACTAGGTCTCTGTTCAATAGTCTCCTCGTCTTCCATTTGTTCCACACACTTGTCGATAACTTCTTGCGCTCTAGGGTTAGTACGATAGGGAGCACGATCGACTGGTTTAGTGCCTGGTTCTAGGGGAAAATCTGCCTTGGCTATCTTGCATTTTCCGAGGTCCTTCGGAGTTCATGAAAACACATTACGGTATTTCGCGCATAAATCCAAGACTTGCGAGCATTGTTGAGGAGTAAATATAGTGTTCGTGAACGCTATTTTCATGGCTCGTTTCAACCCGTCTCGCTTGTGTCGGAATGTGGTTTAGTCGCTATTGACAGCGCTAACTGTTTTATCGGCAACCGACTTTATTGGCGAAATGTACCCGAAAATAGTGTCGCGTGCAATGTGAACGTGTCGTTTGGATGGATTAGCAACTTGTACTGCAGCGGACTTGTCCTTTGCTGACCAATTGCATACCGTTCTAGCGACTACGATTGTACGGAACGCTTTGGGTATATTGTCGACGTTTCGATGTCTTGGGCAGTGACAATCCATGGCTCGACCAACGCAGGCGTGTTTGCCTGTGGTGCTTGTTCTGTCACGACGTCTACTGCCATTTCACTTTCGGGGGGGATGCATAATCTCTTAGAGAGATATACGGGCACCGCTTCTATCGATGGGCCAAGCGTCACTATGGAAATTTGCGCTGGGGCATCATTATTGGTGTCCACTTGGCTATTCGTACGTCTGTGAGTTGCCGGAAATTTTCGTGTTGAATATTTAAATGAAAATTGCTCACCGCACCAATCAAGGACGGCACCAAAGGCATTCATAATGCTATTATCGAGCAACATCTTATCCGGACCTAGGTTGGGCAACACGAGAGCCTCCACCGGTAGTGTTATGTCTCCCAGTGTGAGCTTAAAACGGATGTATCCTAGGATTTCTAACGCTGAGCCGTCTGCACTATTCAACTGGATTANCACTTTCGGGGGGGATGCATAATCTCTTAGAGAGATATACGGGCACCGCTTCTATCGATGGGCCAAGCGTCACTATGGAAATTTGCGCTGGGGCATCATTATTGGTGTCCACTTGGCTATTCGTACGTCTGTGAGTTGCCGGAAATNGGTAGTGTTATGTCTCCCAGTGTGAGCTTAAAACGGATGTATCCTAGGATTTCTAACGCTGAGCCGTCTGCACTATTCAACTGGATTACGCCAGGAGGCACAGGTTTCAGAGGTAAACGTTGCAGGACTGGATGCGATTTAAAAAAAGACGCTGATATACACGGTACATCAGCTGCTGTGTCGATAGTGAGCTCAGACACAGCGTGATTACAAACTCGGGCAGGAATTCGCAATCTCTTGAAGGACAAATTTAACGCATTCGGATGTTGTGGGTATTTTCTCAGTGCTGACGCATGAAACGCCGCATAAGTGGGTCCACCACTCGATGCACTTGAAACAGAGGCACGTCTTTCTTGTTGTTGTTGTTGACTTCACATTAAACCGTATGCCAGTTGCTAAATGCCAAAATCTAGCAAAGACTCTCAGCCCGTGGTCACGAAAGTGCTAGAGCCATCTGAGGATCTAAAGAACACGCACACGTAGCAAGAAAAAGGTATCCAAGAGCCCGAAGAGGTACTACTACCCCTATATATAATCCCTGCAGCACCGTACGCGTGCCCAAAACTGAACTNAAAAAATGAGATGGGCATCGCTGCCTACGCCGACGGCCAGAGGCCCGCGCATCTACATTTTTTCGCCTGACCCCATCAGTGCCGACCCAACTACACCACCACGCGCATGCCTCGCGGCGGATATGCGCAGCAGCAAGAAGGTTTCGGTCATCCCTTGAGGGTGAGTCTAGCCCTGCTCGCCAGAAAGACCCCCCCCTTCACTACAACCCATGTCTAAGCAAAAGCTTGTCGAGGAGCGAGGGGAAGAAGGGAGAATCTTTCCGTGTTATGATTAAATGGCATACTACCAGTCAGTACAAATTCAGCTTGCGGGGCTAACCTGGAGTCGGCGCACGAGTGCGTTTGTTCTTCCTATTGTTCCCTGCTTTGCTACTTGACCGACTATGAAACGGTGCCTGGGCAGAATCTGTTACCGAGACTTCACATCGCCACCTCTCCCCCGAGAAAAAATTATTCCCTCGATTTGCTACTGTCATGCACATACGGGGCTAAATCAAGTCGGGCATCCTGTGCTACATGAGTTTCTTCAGCTAATGGTGTGCTAGTTTCGTCAGCTAATGGTGTGCTATCGACCTGTCTCCCTACGAGCGAGGAGTCTCGTGAAGGGCCCCGTCAAGCTTTAGTCCAAGTCCATCCCTTGTCTTGAGCGTGTTTTTTCTTTAAACCGCACTGTTCACGGGGGTGGTTGAACTTGCACCCCGGGTAGGGGCACGGTTCTTTCGATGCCGAGGAAGATTTGCCTTTACCCGCGGTGCGCGCCTTTTTCGGGGCACCCTGACTCGCTGTGCTGTTCTTGTTCGGCGGCCGCATCGACTTGAGCCGGGTGACCTCAGCTTGCAGGTCTTTGATAACCGCCGTGTTTGAGGACACAGTCTGCTTCAGCTGTGGGGGTTCAGGGTACGCGACAGCAGATACGGTGTCGGATATGGGTGACGCTACGCCTCTCAGATTATTTGCCTCGTGTTTTTTCGCGCGAAGTCTTGCGTCCTGAAATGAGTTTGGAGGGTCCTCTCGAACACACTCTACTCTAATGTGAGGTTTCAGGCCGTTCTCAAATGTGGCAGTCATGAAAACGTCCCATGCGTGTTCGTAGTGGCTAATGTGGGAGGGACCTGAGCGAGCAGCCTCTGC